TGAAGTCTTAGCTGAGGTCCAGAAAGCATACTTAATTAGCTTTAATTTTTTAAATTACTTTTTCTTTTTTTGAGAGAAAGTGTCTCACCTAGAACTCACTAGGTGAGTTTGGCCTTGAACTTCTAATCCTCCTGCCTCAGCCTCCTGAGTGCTGTGCCACCATGGCTGGCCAAGCACAGGTTCCCATCTGGAAGGCTAGCAGAGTTCTGTTCCAGTGTTGTACATTAATTTTGTTCTTGAGAATCCACCCCCAGGTGTAAGTGACGATATACTGCTTTAAGATTATTTTGTTGTTGTTTTCTGGTTTGTTTGTTTGTTTTGAGACAGGGTTTCTCTGTGTAGTGTTGGCTGTCCTGGAACTTGCTGTGAAGACCAGGCTGCCCTAGAACCCACAGAGATCCTCCTGCCTATGTCTCCTGATTGCTGAGATTCACCCTGCCTTTTGTTGTTTAAAAAGAGGGTGCAAGGGACTGAATGCAGAATTTAGGATTGCCTGACCCACACAAAATGTTGAGTTTTTAAACATTTTATAAACATTTCTCAGTGAGAACAAGCCTTCAGGGCAAAAAGCAGTGCCTCTGATCTGAACAGTTGCCTAACAGACACATGTTTTTGTGTATAGTGCTGAACTTTTGGTCTAATCTGGAGTAGACATGTGAGCACAGGAAAACCACAGCAGAGCTGGTGGGAGTTCATGGCACATACTTAGCTCAACAACTGTGCAAATTCATGTTACTAGACATTTTCCCCCTTTGAGTCTCCACTGAAACTCCTCCCCCACACCACAAACCCTACCACAAAGCAGGAGATGTCAAACCAGTCCTGGAGGTAGAGGCCAGTGTGCTGGGCCTCACCTTGCCTGTCTTGGAGTTGCAATGAGTATTGTTTTGTTTTTGCCTCACCTACGCCCCCTCCATTTTTCGGATTCCTTTCCAGACCTAGAATCATCTCATCAGTGAATATTTCAGTATGTGTATCCAGAAAACAAAGAAGGACTCAGTAGCACCACTGTGTCAGTCCCCTTCCCCCTGAAAAAAAGAGCCAACATCAAGCCAGTGCATTCAGTTTCCTGATTGTTCCTCCATGGCCTGCCTAAGACTGCCATCTCCAGACCCATGTGCCTAGGTTCAAAGGGTTCCTACCACCAGAGAGCAGAGTTGTGCCAGGGACGTGTTTTAGGCTAAACACTCGCTCTCCTTTGGGAGGCTAAGGGTGCTCATGCTGCTGGCCCTGCATGGAAAGCTGGATACCAAGCCTCTAAGGACATCATTTCACATGTGTGCCCGCACTTACTGCTGGAGAAGTGGATGTGGCCTGTGGGACCATTGGAGAGGATTTTGGAAAGCATGGTGTCCCTCAGACCTTACTCCCTGTGCCTTTTTCTTTTGGCCAAATTTTCCTTAGGACCAGACAGCCATGGCTGTGTGTAGTTGTGGCACCCTGGAGAGTCACTGAGCCTGGGGAAGGGCTCTCAAGCCCTAACCTGGACTGCCTGGCTCTCTCAGCAGTGTTCTCAGAGCCAGGTGCCAGTGAGGTTTGTACATCCTACTAGGTGACTGTCACGTAAGACTCGGTCTTTCCTACGGACTTCGGGAGGTTACTGATTTTGTTTTTTTTAAAATAAATATTTCCTTATTTTTTTCATAAAATATATTTGGTAAAACATAAACATAAAATATATATTCTTACCTCCTTTTCCAACTTGTCCCTGATCCACTCGCCCAACTTCATATTCTTTTTTTCTCTTAAAAGCAAAACCGACACAAAACAAAAACAACAAAAAAGCAAAAAGTCAGAAACATACACACACAAACCCAAAGCTACAAACAGACACAAACAAAACCAAAAACTCACAAAAAAAAAAAAAAAAAAACAACAAACAATTCATTTTGTGTTGGCATCTACTGTGTCCTGGGTTGTATTTTATATACTCAGTGTCACAGCGTTAAAGAAAACTGACTTTGCCTTCTCCTAGCAGGTAACGAATGAAAGTATCTTCTTGGCTGGGGGTGGGACTTTGTGCCCACTTCCACGTCTCTGTGCTGAGATTTTTTTTTTTTTGTCTGAGGCCTTGTGCTTGCTGTCACAGTTTCATGTGTGGATCAGTCCTGGTCTGTCTGGAAATGCCGTTTTCTTGGCATTATCCGCTGCCTGTGGCTCTTACAGTCTTTCTCCCTCCTCTTCTGTGTAGATCCCTGAGCTTGGAGGGGAGGGGTTTGATGAAGACATCCTCTTTAGGGGTGAGCGTTCCAAAGGCTCTCACTCTGTTGTCTGGTTGTGGGTTTCTTTGTTATATATTGCTGTTTCTTTGTTATATACTGCTGGAAATAGTCTGTGATGAGGTTTCAGCAATGTACTGATCCGGTCCCCGCCAAGCGTGTGGTGGCTGTGGGGTCCCTGGTAGAGAGTGGTTCTCAGGTTAGTTCCTTAAGCTTTGGTTTTCAATATTGAAAATAGGAAGAAGGTCTTCAAAGTTTGTTTGCTTGTTTATTTACACATGCGTGGGAGTCAGAGGTCAACTTTCAGGAGTCTCCCTTCCACCTGTAGGTCCTAGGGAACCAACTCAGATTGTCACATTTGGCAGAAGTATCTTTATTCACTGAGCCATTTGTTGGCCTGGAAATAGTATGGTTGTGGCAGGAAGTGTTTCAGGAGACCCATGGGTGGGTGGACAGTTAGTGGTGGGTAGCCATTGGCCAGGATTCCTCATGTTAAGAGCCACTACAAAAGCTGCCTTCTCAGAGCTAGCTCTTAAGTTGTCCAGCAGCAGAAATACTCATTTAAAAAGTTCATCTTAAAAAAATGTCTGCTTCTGGGGGATGGCTCAGGAGGTAAAGGTCCTTGCTGTCCAACCTGACAACCTGTGCTTGATCCCTGCGATCCACGTGGTAGAAGGCGGAAACGGAATCCTGCAACTGTCCTCTGACGAGTGAGTGAGTGTGTGTGTGTGTGTGTGTGTGTGTGTGTGTGTGTGTGTGTGTAAATAGAGAAAGGACTTAGGGAGCATCAGTTTAAAAAAATGTTTTCAAAGTGATGTTTTGCTAAATTAATGATTATAATAACAACAGTAATAAGATGGAGGTAATCCCGTTGGACACTCATCCTCTCTTCAAAGTTATCTGAGGACCAGGGAGATGGCTCAGGGGGTAAAACACTTGCCATACAAGCCTGAGGACCAGGGTTCAGATCCTCAGAACCTATGTAAAAGCTGGAAAAAGCTGTCTGTCATCACAGAAGGCAGAGACAGGGCTCCCCGGGGCAAGCTGGCTAGCAGCACTTGTTCATCGGTAGATCTGGGTTCGATTGAGAGACCTGCCACAATAAATAACGAAGAACAATCAGGGAAGATGCCTCAAAGCAACGTTGAGCTTCCACGTGCTTACATGTGTGCACATGACCCACATATATGATTATTTTCAAGATTAGGGATCCAACCCGTATCCCCACACGTGAGGAAAGTGCTTGACCATTGAGTAAGACCTGCTTCCACTGTAGTATTTTCATCTAAGAAAAATACATTGCTAATGAATTCCGCATCAGCCCTCTGTCCTGTGCTGCCCTGAACATTCCCTGAAGTTGGGCAATTGTCTTTTTCAGTCTTTGTCCCACCCGGGCTCTTTCTGAGCTGCTGCCTATTAAAGCCTTTCCTGTTATGCTTGTTTTAGAGGTAAACTGGATGTACTTGAGGCCACGTGAGGCAATCTGTGAAGGATTTAGGAAGTTTTGACAAGTGGTAGAGCACGTGCATGAGAGTCTTGTTTATGAGTTTTACAAATTCCAAGGTGATAGCCCCAGTGGGGCCTCACACATGCCAGGTGAGCTCTTCAACACTGAGTTCCACCTCAGCCAAAGACTTTGTAGTTTTAGAGGGTCCACTGCCTACCATAGCATCTTCTGGAGGAGAGACAGGAAGTAACTCAGCTTTGAGACAGGTACTCGTGGAGAGTGAACACTGGATACCCGTCCTCAGTGTGTGCAAATTCTGAGGCTCTCCTTAGTAGACTCTGTTCAGTTGTTCTCCCACGAGAACAAAATCTGTTGCTCTTCACCCCCTACCTTTCCTAATTTCCTGGGGACAAGGGAAAGACGCCCAAAGAGGCAGTTGTCTGTAGTCAGAAATATCATAAGGGGTGAGTAGGATCCACGCATGTTATATGCGTGTAAGAAAATATAATAACAAACCCCATTATTTTGGAGAGCTAAGGTAAGCTGATAAGGAAAAAAAAAAAGTACTTTTTGACCATGGGGAGAATGAAGCTAGGGTATGTGCACAGTCTCATGTGGGGCCTTGGACAGTGGTCACTCAGAGGCCGGGCAGCTAAGAGATGTCTGATGTGACTAGATCGGAAGATGCTGCGTATTACGAGCAGTTGTTTAACACAGTAAATTACCCTGTTCTGCCTCAGAGGCGGGTGACTTCTTTACAACTTTAGTAAGATAATCCGTCTTACCGGAAACAATTATTCTTAGCCAGAAGGCATTGGTGTTCTGTTTTGTTTTTAACTGAGAAGGGATACTACACAGTCAGCTTGAGAGAAATGAGTGCCTCTCCACAGCATTACCCGTGAATGTCCCTGCTGTGCTGTCATAAGATCGTTGTGTCGGAAAGCACTGCACGACAAAATTTGGCCCCCAGGGAAGCCTCTGCTGGCATAGAGCCTTTGAAGACCATCTTTTTACTGTTAGATTTAACATTGGGTATCAAGTACCTATGTTCCCTTTTGGGGGCGCCCATCTGGGGGCTCGTATGGAATCCAGCGCCTGTCTCCAGTTGCAGCTGAGCCAGGTAGCAGGCCTTGGTCACCCCTGCTTCCCGGAACAAGTGTCTTGGGAATTGATGTTGAGGTGTAATGGGTGAGAGCAGATTGTAGCGTTTCAGTGCTCAGCACACAGGGAGTTTAGGAACTGGGAGGGAGCTGTATAGTCGCAAGGTGTGACAGTGTAAGTTAAGGGTTCCACTGGACTGACCCTCCCGTATTTTCCCTTTTGTGTTCCCATAGAAACCCGATGTCCTGACCACCGGAAGCGGGAACCCAATAGGAGATAAACTTAATATCATGACCGTGGGGCCCCGGGGCCCCCTTCTTGTTCAGGATGTGGTTTTCACTGATGAGATGGCACACTTTGACAGAGAGCGAATTCCTGAGAGAGTGGTACACGCAAAAGGAGCAGGTGAGAGCAGTCTGTGTTCTTCACTCCTAACCTGGCTCAAAGGATTCCCTCGAGCGCCTGACAACCTTACGTAGAGGGAACCTTGTAGTTGTCGGACATAGCCTTCCTTCAGTAAATTCCCAAAGCTGCATTCTTGGAAGAAAGAAAAACTCTTAATAGAAGAATAGCCTAGGCTTTTATATTATTATATATCATTATATTAACATATACTAATTATATAATTGTGCTTTAATTATACTATTTTTATGTTGTATATTGTAATATTATGTATTATATGTTTATATATAATATAAATACACAAATAATATAATATAGAAAACATTTAATTATATATTTAACATATATAATTATATAAACATTTAAATATATTAAACATATATATTTTAATATACATTATAGTATATGTTATTTATATATAAAATATATAAATGTTTTCATATATTATAGTATGTATAGAACAATTTAAAAATATTTACTCACCAGTGCCGAGGAGTCCAGAAGAAGGTGTCAGATACCCTAGAACTGGAGTTACAGACAGTTCTGTGCCACCATATGGGTGTTGGGCATTGAACCCGGGTCCTCTGAAGAGCGGCCAGGGCTCTTAACTGCTGACCCATCTGTCCAGCTCCAAAACAGTTTTTTAAAAACAAACTTTTGGGAGCTGAGGGGATAGTTCAGTTGGTAAATTGTGTTCTGCAGAGCCCTGAGAACCCGAGTTTAGATTGTCCGCATCCGTGTATAAGAAAAGCTGGCTTACTGTAGCATCTGTCACCTGAGCGTGGGTGAGCGAGTGTGTGGGAGGAGGGGGGTGGACAGAAGCTCTCCCTGGGCCAGCCTAGCCAGATCAGCCAACTTCAGGTTCAGTGAAAGACCTGTTTCAAAAAAACAATGGTGGAAAGTGGCCAAGGGCGTCCAGCTTCCCCTGTGACCTCTATACGCACACGCACGTGCACACACACACACACACACACACACACACAGGAAAACAGTAACTTTACGGCGAGGTGTGGTGTGTGCCACGTGCCTGTAATTTCAGCACATGGGAAGCAGAAGCAGAGAGAGGCTCAGTGCAAGGTCGGGCTGTGCTAAGCGGTAACATCCTGTCTCAGTAAATCCAGGGTTTGGGATGTAGCTCAGGACTGGCGTGCTTATGCAGCAGGCCTAGGGTTCACTGTCCAGCACGACACATACTAACAAGTAACCTTTTATTATTTCACCATTGTATAGTTCTGTAAAGGAAAGAGAGCGCAGATAGAGAAGCACACACCACAGGGATAAATACTGAAATGAACTGAAAAATGGAGCATAGTTATGTCGGGAGTGGTGAATTTGTGGTGGTTTTTCCTTTTCTTTTTGTCTAGCCTCTGTAAACTTTTATCTTTTATGGTGGATGTGAAATATGACAATGGTGTTTACTAGAAAAGCAGCCTGGTCTACATGGAGAATTTCAGGACCGCCAGGGCTACAGAGAGAAACTCTGTCTTGGAACAAACAAACACAACAACAACAAAGAAACAGCATCCTAGAAGGGATAATGCATTTTTCTTCTTTCTAGTTAGCCTTCCTGGTGTCTAGAGCTCCACTTTCTAGATAAGTTTTTTCCCCATTGTTCGATGTCTTCTCTGTTGTCACTTGGTGTTTGGCAGCTTTTTTTTCTGCCCCTGTCTCCTCCCCTGGAAGCCTGTCTTTCCGTGTTGTTCCTTGACCTCTGCCTCCCTCCTAAGGCTCTGAGGTCCTTTGTCTATCCTCAGCCTTGACCAACCAGCTGCTCCCAGCACCCATCACCGCCTCTTGACTCGTAAGTGTGACCTTCACTGGAGCACGAGGTGACAGTAGGGCTTCGCATTTGGCCCTTATCAGTCTGTGTTTGCTTACTTTTCCATCATATTAGAAGGTCCTGAATCGCAGGTGCTGGATGTTTAGTTTCTCTCGTCCCAGGTTCCTCTTAAGGGCCTGAGTGATGGTCTTATGCTGAGACTTTCTGTCTTTCTCACTAGGTGCCTTTGGATACTTTGAGGTCACTCACGATATTACCAGATACTGTAAGGCAAAGGTGTTTGAGCATATTGGAAAGAGGACGCCCATTGCGGTCAGATTCTCGACAGTCGGTAAGTCAGTCTGTTCGTATGCCTCCTTTGCTCCCTTCAACCTGCATTTTACTTGGGGACATTCATAACTTACTCTCAAGGAAAGCGTACTAAGAAATGGAAAACTAAGACATAAGAAATGGGAAAAATATTTCTGTAATTTTAGCCTGTTTTATTGTATCGAAACTATCTAGAGACACACAGGAGTTTACTTCCGAACTTCTGTTTGTTGAACGATGAAGGGGATATCACTGCATTTTTCTGACATCTAGAAAGAACTTCCTACAAGGGTTTGCCTCAAAAGGAAATATGGAGTGGAGATCTTCTTTAAGAACCATTGTAACTGCTTTTTACTGAGAATTAATGTGTAGAGCAACAGTAGTATAGGAGATTGACTTATACTAATCTGTAGATCTTCTTTGTAGTGTGGGATTATTCTATTACAGAATGATTAAGACATTTTATTATTATGTTACAGAATTAGAATTTGTACCTAAAGTATCATCTATATTAACACACTGTAGTGCCTTAGTTAGGCTTTTCTGCTAGGCTCTGTGCTCAAACAAACAAACCATGCTCTGTAAAAACAAATGAGATAAAGAATAAACCTGGACCTTAATTAATTTTCTTAATACTAACTTTCTGACAATTCACTCTTCCTTAAACATTTTCTTATTTGTATTTTATGTGTGTGCATGTTTTGCCTTCATGCATATCTGTGTACCATGTGCATACTTGTGTCATCAGAGGCCAGGGAAGGGTGTCAGATCCGCTGGAACGGGAATTTGATGGTTGTGAGCAGCTGTGCGGGTACTTAGAGATTGAATCTGAATCTTAACTGTGGGTAAGAGCAGCCAGTCAGTCCTAACTGCCGAGTCAGCTCTCTAGCTGCACACAACTCACTTTTTGTTTATTACTCTAATCTTCATAATTGTTTTCTTAATTACCTGTTTAAATGGATAATCTTGTCAGCTGCTGGCATACACGATCTCTTATCATTTTTAATTCATTCCTTTGTCTCATTTCTAGACCCAATTAGCAGGTAGGTTGCAGTAAAAATACCACAGACATTTAAATGCCTAGTCTGCTTCCAGGAAGTAGATTGAAGGCGATAGATGCTAAGTTTCTCTGTGATTTATGGTTTCTTGGCTGCAGTGTGCTTGGCTGTGTTTCATTCTTCCTTTTTGAATCTTCCAGCTGGAGAGTCAGGCTCAGCTGACACAGTTCGTGACCCTCGGGGGTTTGCAGTGAAGTTCTACACTGAAGATGGTAACTGGGATCTCGTGGGAAACAACACCCCTATTTTCTTCATCAGGGATGCCATACTGGTAGGTGATGGACTCTTTTTCTCTCTACAAGTGTTGTTGATCTGTATCGACTTCAGTTCTCTTTATGGGTTGGCATTTTAGAATAAACCCTGGAGAAAAGAGAATGTGGATTGTTTGGGTTGTCCTTTTTTTTTTTTTTTTTTTCTTCTTCTTTCTTTTTTTAGTACATCTCTGTAAATGATAGTTACCATTGGCCTGAGATTTGGCATGTCAAGATTCACTGACTTGGTGGGAATATCCCAGCTCCCATTGCATAACCTGGAGGATTAGTGAAGATGGGATCTGTCCAAGGAGCAGATAGAGAATATTTCTGGGTGTGTGTGTGTGTGGGTGATATGTGTGTATATGTGGTGTGTGTGTGTTTGTATGTGGTGTGTTTGGTGGTGGTAGTGTTTAGAGAGATACTTCAGTTTTGAGTGCATTTGATACTAGAGTGTCCAGACTTGCTGAGTAAGTTTCATTTGAAAGTTTAACATTCTAAGTTTCTGGAATTCTGCTGATCAGAATTATAATCCATAAAGGAGCCATAGACAGTGTATCATGTAAGACACTATAATTCTTCTAAACTTAGGTTTGAGATTTTTGTTTTCTCTCTTGTTCCCCCCCCTTTCCCATTTAGTTTCCATCCTTTATCCATAGCCAGAAAAGAAACCCACAGACTCACCTGAAGGACCCCGACATGGTGTGGGACTTCTGGAGCCTGCGTCCAGAGTCTCTCCATCAGGTGAGAACCCTTTCTTTTTACACTCTTGTTACACCATGTCATCTGGGATGGCATTGTGTATTAGGCCTTTAATGTGTTCTTGCTGCTCTAGTGGTTTTATTGGAATTCGCTTCTGTCTTTTTGGGGTGCTTCTTCAGATTTCTTGATCACAGAGAGTTTACATCTAAGCATGACGCTTAGATGGTTGGAAACGCTGTCAATTAGTGTTTGGGAGTCTTTAGCAATAAAGCCTGGTCAGAGGTGAAACTGTGTGTTAGGGTGGAGAGAGGAAGACAGCACTAAAGTCTTTGCTATTAAACTAAAGTTTGTGATGGAAAGGTGGGAAAGATAGGAAAACCTAAAAATGGAGTAGTACACTCCCTGTAGATGGAAACGGAGCAGTAAATACGCTGTGGAGAGAGGTGGAACTGGAGAATGATGGTGGAGAGGACCAGGCTCGTGTGAGTGGCTTGCACTGCTACCTGGGGCCAAGGTGATGTCCACGGTTCAGTCTGCCTCCGAGGGTTTTGTCTGGGTTTGTGCACCCAGGGGCCATGTTCATGGTCTGCGCTGTGGCCAAAAACCATGTAGAAGCCCATGATTCATGTTCCACTGACTGTAAACAGAAAGGAAGGTACGTTTACAGTGATATTGGCAATTGCAGATGCACAGTTTAAAAGAGGGACATGGAAGGCTTTGGTGACAACCTACTTTCACTCCAACTCCTACCTCCCCCCACCATGCAAACAAACAAACAAACAAACAAACAAACAAACCAAACAAGTAACAGCCTAAATAGGAAGCTATTGAAGCTTCCTCTTTAAAAAGTGAGCTAAGAATGCTGAAGTTAGCATCACAGTTGATGCTTCAGGCTGGGTGTGGGAGGGGAACCACTTAGTTCTACAAGGGGCTGGCCACTGAGAGTTTGTCCATGCTCCAGTGAGTACATAGATAACAGAGGTCATGAGGGTGGGGGAGCAAACATGGAAGGACTGGGATATGAGTGTGATCAGGGCGCATGATGTAAAATTCCCAAATGACCAATGAAAGTATTATGTTAAAAAAAAGTAAAGTTTGAACAGCATGTTAGTTTAGTTTCCAGATTTGCTCTAACATTCCTTCATAGGATTTTATATTACTGATTCATGTTTCACCATACTTTAACCTTTTTGTCATTTTCTGTGGATGAAATATTGGTAACTCTTCGCATGGGAAGTTATCAGGTGTGTTCTGTGTCATGAAGAGAGTTTCTGGAAATGCATGGCTTTAAAAACTTGGGATACTTGGATTTAAATGGGAGGATTTCCATTTCTGTTCCTCAGGTTTCTTTCTTGTTCAGTGACCGAGGGATTCCGGATGGACATCGGCACATGAACGGCTACGGATCACACACGTTCAAGCTGGTTAATTCGAATGGAGAGTCGGTCTACTGCAAGTTCCATTACAAGGTACGTGTCTGGACAGGCTCCTCCTCCTCCACAACTCTCTTCACCTCTCCTAAAGGACTGAGCGGAGATGAAAATCTTTTCTCCCTTTCTCTTACTTCCGCCCAGGGATACGAAGAATGATAGAGTTGAATAGCACTATGAATATTTGGTTGGCCATCAATCCATAGAACAAATTTAGACCACTCCAGTTAGAACTGTGTGTAGTTTTGATGTTTTCTTCCTTACATGTTAGAGGTTGGGGCCTCTGTCTTTGCTATTATTTTGGCTTATATTGCAATAAGCAATAAACTTGAGAGGGTTATCATTATTCCCTAAGCACCTCAGAAGGTTAAAAACTTCTGTTTCTAAATACTGCTGCTAAACTAGAAAGAAGGAAATGGGTTAATGACAAATGAAGTCTTCCCTCCTTTTTGTGTAGGTGGAATTGAACCTAGGGCCTCACACATGTGAGGCAAGTGCTCTACCACTGAGCTTTTACATCCTCAGCACCTGTTGTATTTTGAAACAGGATCTCATTAAGTTGCCCAGGTCAGCCTCGAACTCCTTGGTAGCCTAGCTGAGCCTTGAACTTGTAATCCTCTACCTCAGCCTCCTGAGTAGCTGAGCTTTCAGGCCCACACAACCAGGCTCAGCACCTCTCCCTTTTAGCAGCATCCCAAAGGCCTGCTCTCTTCTGTCCTATTCTAATACTTATTGGAACAAGCTAATTAGGTGTATTAAATGGGAAAATTGTCTTTTTTTTATATCTTGGATCAATGTACAGAAGGCAGTTGGTTAATGGATTTATAATTGTCAAAGGGAGCTGTGTTACATCACTCGGAGCAAGGCGTGGTGACTGGGGGATACCGAGCCTAGTTAGAAGCCTTGAAGTTAGGCGAGCATGAACTCAGATCTTTATTGTCCCAGGTAACTGTAATGTTGGCATTTTGTTGAAAGTTCTTTTCATTTTAGAATTGGGATGCAACTACAGATGTCCACAGGCCTAGCATAGATTGCTTATGGGTTTGTTTAGCAGAAACTTGAGATAGATTGAGATGCATATGGATTCATTCATTTGTTCGTTCATTCATATAGCTTATTTTGATTTATAGCTACTTTCTTCTAAACCTAAGGGTTTTGGTTAAAATCAGAACAGCTTTGTACTATTATGATAATTGAACATAGTGGCTCACTGGGTGGCCTTCAGGTGGTGGCCTTCATTTTTAAATCCTGAAGTTGCCTTTCCCTGTGGTCCCTTCCAGAGTTGGTTTTGCTAAGTGTTTCTGTGTGGCTTTTGGAGTCTTTTAAACGAGGCACATGGTCAGCCAGTTCACCAGGGCTATCGAGACAGGAGTGCTGGGCCAAGTGATGGAATGTCTTTTTGAGTGTGATTGGCTTGTTTGGACAGGCAGAATGCCGATTTTGCCTGTTCATGGAGAACGGGGATAGAGTGGCCACACTGAAGCTCGTGGTAGCTCGATGAACTCTGATCCTGTGACTTCTTAAAACGAAACATGAGGAAGACAATAGTGATGGAGGGATAAGCTGATCACACTTTTAGGAATTTACTTGAGCTGTCTTAAAATGGAAATTAGGTTATTTCCAGAATTCCTTGGTGTATACCTAAGGCAAATGATACAGTATGTCCAGAAGCCCATCCATCAGATGGTGAATGGATTAAGAAGATGTGATGTAGTGGACTGCTTTTCAGACAGAGAGAGAGAGTGGGAAAGAAAGAGACAGAGAGACATATATAGATATGAAAGAGTGTGTGTGTGTGTGTGTGTGTGTGTGTGTGTGTGTTTGTGACTTGGGGTGGAATTGTAGACCATTGCACTAAGTGAAATGATCCAGGCATAGAAAGACAGATGTAGCATGCTCCGGGTGGAATTTGAGAATTAGAAGCTGAAATTAGAATGGTAGTTCTCAGAAGCGAGGGAGATTAGAGGGTGGAGGGATGGGAAAGGCTGGCTGATTGTACTCAGTCAAAGCTGGGAGAACCGAGTTCTCATGTGCTCTTGCACAGGAAAGTGACTGTAGAAAGCATCTGCATTTCAGCATCCAAAAACCCGTAAGAAAGGATTTGAGTGTTTTGCTATAAGGAAATGGTAAATATTCTCCATTAATATGTATAATTTTGTTGTTTTAATGTACCAGTTAAAAATAAATTAAACTTTAAAACTATATAAACCCTCTAGTTTTAGTATATCTTGCTTATTTTGATGAAAAAAAGTTTTATTAAGAAAGTATTTTTTCTGATTACAAAGTAATATAAGCATAAACATTCAAATGATGTAGAATACATAAAGGGAAAGAGATGAATGATTTTAAATGTGAAAAGTGTGGAACAAATTTCCTTGACGTTGAAACGAGTCAGGATAAATATAGTTTGGTGTAAATAAATTTATTAGTGTCAGTTCTGAACAAAGGGAAGTATGATTTAAGGAAAGTTTCATCTCTGGGTCATGTTACCCAGAACCCTTCAGTGAATTCCTGGTTATGTTTTGGTAACCTCTTCCCTAAACTTGGTTAGAGCTTCCTTCTTTCACTCTGCAGACCGACCAGGGCATCAAAAACTTGCCTGTTGCAGAGGCAGGAAGACTTGCCCAGGAAGATCCAGATTATGGCCTCCGAGATCTTTTCAATGCCATTGCCAATAGCAACTACCCGTCCTGGACTTTTTACATCCAGGTCATGACTTTTAAGGAGGCAGAAACTTCCCCATTTAACCCATTTGATGTTACCAAGGTAAGTTAGCAGCAACTGTATTATTTTATAAGTGTCTTCCTGAATTATGATGATGATGGTGATAATGATGATGATAAATTATTATTTTTCTTTTTTTAATATAATTTTTTATTTATTACAATTTATTCACTTTGTATCCCAGCTGTAGCTTCCACCCTCGTCCCCTTCCAATCCCTCCCTTCCTCCCTCATCACTTCCCATGCCCCTTCCCCAGTCCACTGATAGGGGAGGACCTGCTCCCCTTCCATCTGACCCTAGTTTATCAGGTCTCATTAAGACTGGCTGCAATGTTCTTCTCTGTGGCCTGGCAAGGCTGCTCTTCCCTCTGGGGGAGGTGATCAAAGAGCCAGCCACTGAGTTCATGTCAGAGACGGCCTGTTCCCCTTACTAGGAAGCCCATTTGGAGACTGAGCTGCCACAGGCTATATCTGTGCAGGGGTTCTAGGCTGTCTCCATGACTGGTCCTTGGTTTTAGTAGATGATGATAAATTATAGCCAAGCATTCACAATGACAGGAGCAGATAAGACAGGCTAGATAAGAGGTGGTAGCTCAGCAGGGTCCTTGTCCCTCTGAGTGGATGCTTGCCACCGCTCACTTCCATTCCTGTGTGGGAAGTTCTCTGGGGTCACTTTGGAGGTTTCCTGTGTTATTAGCAGGGTACAGGTTTTGAAAGGCTGATATCTTCTGGTTCTTCACAAGTGTCAATATTTACTGCTTACTATTACGAAATGACAATGCAGTTACCTGATGTTCTTACCGTGTTTCTGTTGGGTTAATAATTATTTTCATTGGCTTGATTATATTTGAAAGTTGGTGTTTCCATGGGTACCTTACATATCCTTCAGTTGGTTACCCGGTTACCTGCTAATTATGAATATGACATTATTTTCAGGTTTGGCCTCACGAGGACTACCCTCTTATACCAGTTGGTAAACTGGTCTTAAACAGAAATCCAGTTAATTACTTTGCTGAAGTTGAACAGATAGCTTTTGACCCAAGCAACATGCCTCCTGGCATTGAGCCCAGCCCTGACAAGATGCTCCAGGTAAGCCAGTGAGTTTAGCTGTTCTGAGGTAGGTGTCTGTTTGTGTGCACACAGCATATAACTTGGCAGGGTCTTTCCATGAGGAATTACTAGAACTTTTCACTTGAATTTTAATTGAGGTGCTTAATTCCTATGAGATCAGTGGGCCGAAACATTCTTAGGTTAAACATTCTCTTTGGTTAAACCAACTATAAACCACATCCATGATAAAGTATCTGATATTTGAAGATGTGAACCCTTGGTCTCAGAACAAAAGATGTAATAGAAATGACTCCATATTTTAGAAAACTATAGTATAGTTAGCTCAGCCTATAAGGGTATAATAAATGATTAGAACCATCAACAGCTTAACTTTATCTCCTATTCCAAGGTGATGTTTGTGTATTTTCTCTCTGTGAAAACAACTCCATGGATGGTTTTTATTCAACCAATTTTGTGATTATGGCAGTGGAATAATTTAATCATGTGATCTTGCTAGACATTCAGCACCCTTAAATCACTTTTGCCTAGAGTTCAAAGAGTGAAAATTCTACTTTGGACTGGTAATCAGTAGGAAAATAATTGGATTAGTAGTTGCTTTGCAAAATGATCTTTGTGTTTCTAGACTATGAACATAAAAACAGAGGTTAAAGATTAGACCGTAGATCAGACCACAGAGACTGAAGGTTGATATTTACATAAGTCCTGACTCTAGGCAAGTGTCGGGCTGCTGGGAGAGCAAGCTGAGATCCTCTGTGTGTCTGTGGGCTACCTCTGTTGTGACATTGGGGACATCTGAGACTTTCTTTTTTAGAAAGTCAGTCTTTATTCCACGGGCTGAGTCCTGCCTTGCTGGGTGCGTTTCTATGAATCGCTGGATAACCATAGTATAAGACAGAGAGTGTGGTGGGTCTGAGGTTGAGCTAGAAGGCCAGGAACAAAGTTCAAGAACAAGATGGCTTGTGAGCTGGAGTCTGAAGGCTGGGTAGGATTCTGATTTTCAGTTAGCGACACAAGACAGAGGTGCACTGAGTTGTGTATATTTAAACTGTAATAACTATTCTTTCTTGGATGAGAGGAGTTGAGTGTGCACGTGTTAATCGAGTCTGTGTTAGAGGGACCTGTAAAGATTGGACATTGTACAACTGCCCATGTTGGGAAGACAGTAGAATTCTTCCGTTTCAAGAAGCATGGCCTGCTTTAGGAAGCATAGCTGGGCGCAGTGGCACACACCTGTAATCCCAGCACGTGGGGAGGCAGAGGTAGGCAGATCTCTCTGAGTTCGAGGCCAGCCTGGTCTACAAAGTGAGTTCAGGACAGCCAAGGCTACACAGAGAAATCCTGTCTCGAAACAGAAAACCAAAACCAAAGCAACAACTAACCAAAACAGACTAAACAAGCAAACAAACAAACAAAAAACCAAGAAGCATGGCCTGGTAGCCATCAAATAGAATAACTAACGCCTCTCAGTGATGATCAGTAAGGGAAGGAGCTGCGGTTAGGGACAGAAGGGAACTGGACTAGAGTACAGCTGCAGTTTTCGTGGTTGGCAGCCAGAGGAAGTTGGGGAGTAGAGGAAATCTAGATGTATGACCCTGCCTACAGCCTTTCCTGCTGGGTGGGCAGGAGGGAACTGAACTGTGATTGTGGGCCCAGCAGGGTGTACCAGGGCATGAAATCACCATGGCTGGAGCTCAGACTGGTTTTGAGAAAATAGATTGGAAAGTAAATGGTGACCTACAGTTGGCACAGGAGCACAGTTCACCGTTGTTCTTTGGGACTACAGCGACACCTGGCGTCGGATGGCAGCTCAGCCACACAGTAGAGAGAACACTGACGATTGGAATGGAGCACTAGGCTCAGGGTGAAGCCGCCACAGCAAATGTGTTTTCTGCGCAAGAATAGAAAACAAATGTAAGCCAGGCATAGCGGTGTTATTTAGCCATGCATTCTAATTCTGTGGTGCACATGGGGAGCCGTGCAGTTGGGGAAGGACTGTTGGTCTCCGTTAGCCATTTGGTGACCAGCACAGAACTGTCAAAGGTTGTTTGAGTGGGTAAGGACCATAATCTGGGGTCCTTAGGAAGAATCTTTTATGGGAGTATTGGGGCAGAGAGCTAGTTTAGAAGGCTGCGATTACTCCTGAAGAGTGCTGAAGCTGAGCAGTGGCATTTGCTGTGTTGGGGGATGGCGTCTTTGTTTACGTCTAAACAGGGTCCTGTTCATAAATCTTAAACCTTAATTCAAAGCGATAAGCCAGAGCATCATGAAATGGGCAGACTAGTGTAATGCAGGAAACAGAGACTGTACCGAGTGCCTGGCCGTGCAGCTGTGTGGCCTTTCTTTGCTCCAGCTGGAACCAGAAGGAAGTCGGACCAGTGGCTTGAGTGGGAAACAACCATTCGGTCAGGTGGCGTAAAGGACAAAGCCTTGAGCAAGGCTTCCATGCAAGTCATCGTCAGAATGTGTGCTCACTCTGCCCATTTCTCGACCTGGGTGTGTCGTCTCCATTCACAGGGGAGGTTATGGTTGCCTGCTAACTATAAAGTAATGAAGTCAGAGTGTTATGCTGGAGGAGTGGTTCTCAACCTGTGGGTCGCAACCCTCAGAAAACACAGATTTTTACGTTATGACTCGTAACAGCAAAATGACAGTTACGAAGGAGCAACGAGAATAATTTTATGGTCGGAGATCACCACAACATGAGGAACTGTATTAAAGGGTCACAGCCTAAGGAGGGCTGAGAACCATTGTGTTAGAGGTTCCATCCAGGAGCTACCCAAGGCTCCATTCTATCTTCTAGCCTGTTGGTGGAGTTGAGCACGGCTTCTGGAGTCAGTGGAGGCAGCCAGCTTCCTTCTGTGGGCGGGGTCTAGTCACGGCTGTGTCGATGATTTGCAGGGATTGTGGGGAGCAGGCTTAGTTATCCGCAGTGTTGGCAGAGTCAGCGGGGCTGCATTAAGGGTGTCGAGTGAGTGATTTGCTACAAAATAACTGCTGCATTTGCATTCTTTATCTTGGTGGTTAGTTTTCATTTTTTTTAATGCTCATTTAAAAAATGTAGTTCAATTTTAAAATTTAAATCAATTGTAAGTTAGCACACACATTAGTGAGTTTTCATTAAAACACACACACACACATACATATTGTTCTTATATTTTGCTTTTATATATGTCTCCTTTCCTCTCTGCCTGTCTTCATCTTCCCTCCTTCCCCATACTGCTTTGCCTCAAAATTCCTTTCGCTTTTATGTTACATTTATTCTGTTACTCCCTCTGTTTTTCCTTCTCCTTTAAAATCTCTTTGTCCCCTCTCATGGTCTCCTTTCTATTTTTTAAACCGTTTTTTTTTTTTTTTGCCTTATGTAATTAGAAACATGAGAATACTGTTTGAGAGTCAAGACAATAATCAAGGCAGTGAATGAGGAATTGCTCACGAAGCAAACCTTGCATAATGAGAGTCAGCGATCGGAGATTAAGGTCAATGCAGAGCAAATCCTAAAGCTCTTTTCTAAAAGGGACGCCAAGATGATTCTCATCCTGCCTTGGGAAACATGAGGCACAATTTTAATATCCGAGTTAGTTAGCCTCAGACTTGTCACCTGTGGTTGTGGAGGGCCAGCGGGTCCAACTGAAGCTTTCTCTCTGTGTTTGTTAGTAGTCCCAGAACACAGGATGTCTGATTCGCTGTGCACCGTGGGAGCTGCCTCTTTGAACAATTTCCACACAGCTGGCTTTGTAGAGTTGTGTTGTGCTTTAGGAATTCTTCCCTTGGAGTAGAGAGGGCTGGGGATTAATTCAGGATTCTGGTGAGGTGAGATGTGAAATGCCAGGCCTAGGCACTGTTGTGCCCTGGGGGGCAGGTAGGCATCATTGTCCAGGATGGGTGTAGTTGGGCAGATGGTGTGTCCAATTAGGAATGGCTTCTTTAGGAAGAATGCGCTTCCTAAAGAGTAGGAAGAATTCCCACTCTTCTAAGTGGGAAGAGGCTTGACTCCCCCGAGCAGAGCTAGGTCAGGCTGATGCGGTAATCATGTACTTTGAATTTTAGGATGCCACTTAGAGATTATTTCCTGTTCCATAAGTGGCTGTCTGTAACGTCCTTTTCGTGTATTACTCCAGGGGCGCCTTTTTTCCTATCCGGACACTCACCGCCACCGCCTGGGACCCAACTATCTGCAGATACCTGTGAACTGTCCCTACCGCGCTCGAGTGGCCAACTACCAGCGTGACGGTCCCATGTGCATGCACGACAACCAGGGTAGGCCTGGATGTGTTTGACTCCCTGTGAGAGCAGAGGGCATGAGGAGTGGGTGGGCTGGGATGCCAGGCCAGCGGTTCTCCACCCAGCGCCCTGAGTCGTCCTCTGCTGTGAGGCGCCATACAGGTGCTGCCGGCCACCCCATCTCCTCAGTAGCGGAGGTTTGAGCCGCCCGCCCTCGGTTCTGGTTTCTATCTGTTTTCTATACCTTCTTGAGAGTTCCCTCCTCAGGTTGCCGTTGGTGTCCGTCCCGCAAAGGAAGGCTAGGAGGAGGATCTTACACAGTGGAGTGTATCCAACCTAGTTATAAAATGCACAGTTTCTCAAGTCACTCTTACCCGGACTGAGGCCTTTTTTTGAGTGTTTTGAGGTTCATTTGTCAAGTGCACAACCTTGTAATTACCTTCTTGATGCTGTCACACAGCCAGCCTCTGGTTTTAATTCTGATTAGACAAGCAGAACATTTGGGTGATGTGTTTTCTTTTAATATAGCAGTTTAATAAGTATCTTAGCTTTTAATTTCCTGCTCTGGGCCCGTGTTTAATAGCTATGGAAATAGATCTCTGCAGAAGTTTGACCAGTGATGTTTATTTGTAGCTGTAGCTACCTGTATGAAAATTAAAGGCGTCCTATATTGTGTACACCTCCAATAAAAAGAATATATGTACCCTAAAGGGGTCTTAGAAAATAATGGACAAAAACCCACTTAACAGTTCAAACACCCAGAGGCCACAACGATTGCATTCTTCTATATTTCTTGCCATGCTTTTCAGTGGCCGTTTTTACACATTTAATTTTTTTTTTATAGGCCATTTTGTGCTCGGCTCTCCTGTCCTTACTCCTGGCCTCTCGGGTGTTTACTGAGGTTAACCCTTTCTGCCAAACTCTACTGAGGAAGTATGGTGTTTCTGCTCCCGTAGGACTCCAGAGGCACAGGCCTAGAGTAGTCGATGTTCCCTGTGTCTGTGTCTTGCCTTTCCATTCTTCTAGCCCCACCCCCACCTTCTTTTGTGGTCCTTTTGTTATTGCAGCTGTGCATGGCACAGACTCCATGTTTTTCTTGAGCTTCACTATAGTTAATTGTTTCATGTTCACATCCCATTGGCACACTTGTAAGAAAGCTGCTCTGGGGTAGCTGTTCTCTAACTTGATTTCAGAGAGCATTTGGGCTGTGCCCTGGAAATTCTCATGAAAGAGCCTAATTGTTCCCAGTCACGAACACCTCCAAGACAACTCCCACTTTGAGTAAAGGTCAGAAAGTATTTGAAAACAGAGTTTAAAAGCCTTCCTTCAGAGGGCAAATTCTTAGTGAAGAAATATTGTGGTGGTTAGCTGTTGGACTCTGCTTTTCACAGTGACGCAGCTGTCCTAGGCCTACTTTCTGATGTGAATAACTGATCACCATAATCACCCCCCCTCCCCGTGCACACACCCTTGGTGCCTTGTTCACTGTGATTGGAGGCATCTCCTAATTATCCACAGTGGATAATCTGTCTTGGCAGAGAGCCAGGAAGCATTCCAGTCACAGGCTGCTTCCCGGAAGCCGTTCCTAGCATTCCTAGGCAGTGGTCTGTACAGGCATGGTGGGCCCTGGTAGCCAGGCTCCTGAGCAGTGTGCAGCCCGGAAAGTAAGCGTACCAAGCGAGGGGCCTTGGAGATGGCTCAGAGGGTAAGGGCCCCTGCTGGAGGCCTGAAGACCCAAGTTCAGTCCCTGTGACCAACATGTTGGATGGCGGGAGAGAGTTGATTCCCAGAGTTGTCTGCTGATCTCCACGCATGCTCTGCGGTAGAAGTTCAGCTGCACACACAGAAAATAAAAGTTAATAAAAGCTGCCAAGATGAGAAAAAGTGAAGCCTTCCTGCTTATCTCAGAATCATAAAGGATGCATGATTGTATCTGCCAATATTTTGTTCAATAAATCCAGATAAATGAAAGCTAACATATTACAAATACAGGTTTTTTTTTTTTTTTTTTTTTTTTTAAAACACCCCCCTTTTAAAAAAAAAAAAAAAGACAACAACTTTTTTTAGGGAGGAAAGTAAAAGTAGAATTGAGGAGAGCATTAGAGCCGGCTAAAGAGAGAGCTCCCCCCCCCCCAATCCTAAAGGTGTGTGAGGAAGAGTATCGTCAAGTTTTCTTTGGAAACGGACAGAAACACAGGCTTCCACCACGCTCATCTCAGAGCTCCAGGTTGGGTCTAGGAATGAGGGAACTGAGCTAGAACCAGGTTGCTTTGCTCAACTGAGCAATGTTTAGATGGAGCCTGCATTCAAACGAAACGGTCAGGTCTACAGTGTGTCTGTCTGGGCCTCGTCTCAGCGGCTGCCACATCAGCTTTCTGAAGTGGTGTAGCCAAGAACCTTCGAGGTGTTGGCAAGGCCTCTGAGAGCTCTTTATTTAGACTCGGAGTGAGGCCCTTAGAGAGGGCAGCGTCCCCTGAGCCTGTAGCTAGACCTGGGCAAGAGGGATCTTTTCCCAGCATGGTGTGTGTTTGCTGACTGCTGGGGCCTTCTCCTTCCTCCGCCCCTTCACCAAAATGTCTGCAGTTGATGCCTTGTAGACATCGGTCATTCCCCTGAATATGTCTCTGCTTCCTGTTAAAGGCGGTGCTCCCAACTACTACCCCAACAGCTTCAGTGCGCCCGAGCAGCAGCTCTCAGCCCTGGAGCACGGTATCCCGTGCTCCCCAGATGTGAAGCGTTTCAACAGTGCCAACGAAGACAATGTCACTCAGGTAACAGCTTTCTTGGCTCCCTGGTGGGCGCGTGGCTGGTTTTCTTGTCAGTGCCTTTTTTTTTTTTTTTTTTTATAACCTCCCACTCTCATTATTTAGCTCTGATGGCCTAGAACCAGTTAGGTAATGAGACTGTCGTTTGCATATTAAGGTTTGCTATACGAGCTCTCTTTTGACCTCTCTTATTTTAGTGAGAGGTTTTCTTATCACTCATCCCTTTAACCAGCCTTGACACTGGTGTTACAAGTTCAAAGCATAACAGTGCAACAGTAAAAGTCCTGTGACAAATACCTGAGAAGCTTCATGTTTGTTTCCTTGAAAATGATTTAAGTGGCCTTCCACATCAGGCTCGGAGGACTTGTGCGTACCAGAACTATCCTCTCACGAAGAACATTGGAAAAACAGATGTAAAACTTTGGAGAGGGGCTGGGGAGATGGCTCAGTGGTTAAGGACAATTGCTGTTCTAGCAAAGGACCAGCGTTCAATTCCTGACACCCACATAACAATCGAAAACTTCAGTTCCCGGGGATGTGACACCCTTGTCTGGCCTCCCTGGGTACCAGGCAAACATGTGGTATATATTATAATGCATGCAGGTGAAACACTCATATCCATGAAATGAAATAATTTTTTTTTTTTTTTTTTTTAAAGAAAAGCTTTGGGGAACTAAGAAAGCAAGGATTTAATGACCAAGAGCTCAGAAAACTTGCAGGAAAAAAAAAAGTTGTATGTGTGTAGATAGCCTGTTTACAGATTTCCCCCCAAAAAAATTGACAGTGGGCTCCCATCGGGCTGCAGTGAACCACGGGAAATGCTTCCAGAAATTCCTTTTAGGGGCAGTGAGATGGTTCAGTGGTTAAAGGTGCTTGCAGCCAAGCCTGACAGCTTCAGTTTGATCTCTGGAACTTACATGTAAGAAAGAACCGATGCCCGCAAATTGTCCTTTAACATCTACACATGTGCCGTGGCACAAATGTAAAAAAAATATTCCTTTGGTTGAAGATGGCAGATGACATAGATAGCCTGCCTGTCTGCCTGCTTGTCCGCCCACCTTCCCATTCTCCCCCCTCCCTCCCTCCCTGCATAGACAGACTACATTAAATGTTCTGAATAGGTACTGCAGCTCAGCTAAACACGTTATCTTTGGGGGGCAGTAATGAAAGCGAGTCACCGTAGTGAGTGGCGGTATACTGGAAGTATACAGCCTGTGGGATCCTTGACTGGTTTTTTTTTTCCCCTTGGGAAGGCATTACGTATGCCTCTGAGGAGTTAGAGTTGAAGTCACAGTTTTCGTGGGTTGCAGAAAGCTAGAACTATTATCAACAAATTAATGCAAAACAAATTAACACAGAGGACAGTTTTAATTACAATTTTTCATTGATTTTTTTTTTTTTTAACTGTGCATTTCAAATACAGACTCTTGGGTGAGTTTTGTTCACTGTACCGTGGTTGTTCTATTTTTATTTATTTATTTATTTTTGTGCTGTTGTTGCCGAGCAGGTGCGGACATTCTATACGAAGGTGTTGAATGAGGAGGAGAGGAAACGCCTGTGTGAGAACATCGCAGGCCATCTGAAAGATGCTCAGCTTTTCATTCAGAAGAAAGCGGTGAGTCTGTCTTTGGTAGCTGGAGGGTGACACCTGCTGGCCCATGGAGGTAGTGCGGCTGTGTGGAAGAACCGTTGGCAAGGAAAAGCAGTTTCTCATTTACCTGAGCTAGATGACTTTTTAGACAGCGCAGCAATTCGCGGTCAAACTCCGATTATCTTGTCTCCATGTTTTGCCTGGTGTGATTCATGCGCTCATTCTTACCTGTTTTCCAGAGTGTGGGAATGTAGTTGAGTTTAGAGTGGATTCTTTCATGTGCTGTTTAATTCAGCTGTGGTCAGTTCTGCACTCAACAGTGTATGATCACCAGGTGTGGCTCTGCTTTAGTCTGCCTTAAGCTTTTCGGATGAGAAGAAGTGTTGCTGCCAGTTCTGCGGTCTGAAGTCTGCGCCAGGGCTCAGTGTCACAAATCTGCGACTGTTCTTCAGACAGAGTAGAAGCTTGCCTCTTTTCTATTGGGAGAACTGAGATGTTCTCCAAAGCAGGCTGCATCAGGGTGCTGGGATGTGTCTGCTGGCTTCTCGATGAGCTTCTTGAAGCCCTCTCTCTGCTTTCTAGTTTTTTGGCTTGTCCCAGGAGTACATTCGTTAGAAGCCTAGTAGTCTGTCTGTCTCCTTGTGTTAATTGCTGCTTCTCAGATCACTATCTGGAATGTTCCAGAGCCCAGGTCAAGAACCAGCAAAGAGCCTGGTGGATGCTCTGGGGGATGGGCATCTTGGTCCTAATGAGAGTGGGCAGTGCAGCCTGTCCGTGGTGGAACGGGGCTGTCTCCCTTGTCTGTCTTCTCTCACATAAGCTGAAACTCTTCAGGCTCTCCATTTGTTCCTGGTGCCCCAGGTCCTTTCAGCGTTTGCTGAGGCTCACCTCCTGGCTGGATACTTCTTCATGGAGTTGCCTGGCAGATGCCAGTTGCGCATCCTTCTAAACCTAAGGCTGTCCCTTCATGCAGATTCCCGGCTTGTTAAGTTCCCACCGGGAGGTCAGCTGTTAACTGGCAGCTAGTGCAAGGCATTCAGGTGTGTTTCTCATACTATCCTACGAGATTGGTTGTGTGCTTTCTCCCTCGACAACAAGAAGTTTTTGAATTCTCTGGTGGTGGTTAGTTGTCCTACAGTTGAATTCACTGTCTCGTGGTTCACAGTTTGGCAATTCGCTAGAATGGCCCACAGAACTCAGGAAGATCCCTTACCTAGGATTATCTGTTCATCATAAAGAATATTTCAGGCACTCATCAAGTGGAGGAGATGGTAAGGGCTAGCAGGTTTCATGCCATCTGCTGTACCCCCCTTGCAACATCTCCAAGCACTCACTCACCTGCCCAGAGGCTCCATGGTCCCTGTCATACAAGGGCTTTCATGGAGTTCTTCTTACATAGGTGTAGCTGATGAGCTCATCATCAGGCCCTCTGCCCTCTCTGGAGTCTCAGGAGTGGAATTGGAAGCCCTAACCTTCAAATCATATGCTCACTTTTTTTTTTTTTTTTTTTTTTTGGTCTGGCAAACCAGCTCCATCCTGATGCTCACCAGGCTTTCCACAAACCCAAGACACTAAATTCCAAGATCCATGTGCCAGGAACGTAGCGTAAAGACCAGATGTTGTGTTTCTAGGCTACCACAGAAGCGTAACTATCTTGCTCATTAGAAGCTCACTGAAGCTTAGGCAGGTGAAGTGACTCCTCTGAGGCAGCTCAGCCCATAAACTGAAGATTTTACATGGACCCCAGGGCTTCCTCCAGAACCTGATATGCTGTGTGGCACTCCTTGCTGATGGCTTACTTGTCCTTCCTCCCCTCTGAGTAAGCACAGTGGGGCTCAGTGTAGGGCTGAGAGATGCTGATGTGTGTCTTCCTTTGGCCCCAGGTCAAGAATTTCACTGACGTCCATCCTGACTACGGGGCCCGCATCCAGAATCTTCTGGACAAATACAATGCTGAGAAGCCTAAGGTAAGCCCCGAGTGGTGTGGCCGGGAGAGGAGCCCGAGCTGGGCTCGGTCAGATACAGTTAGGTTTCCACTGACATTGTCATCTCAGTTCAGCAGCTGTTCCACATTCTCTTTGAGCTATCAAGAATGCAGCCGCACAACACATATGCTTCATTTTAGCTCCACGGCATGAAAGCATTCACAGTGAATGAATTTCAGGGTAGCGTTAAGAGATTCCCCAGGTGCCTGTGGGTCAGCTAACTTGCTGGTTTTGTCTTCTCTTCCTTTGACACAGAATGCAATTCACACCTACGTGCAGGCTGGCTCTCACTTTGCTTCAAAGGAAAAAGCTAACCTGTGAGGCAGAGCAGAAGGCTCCCCTGTCATCACACCATGGATTTTCCCCTGCCGAAGCACAGATTCACGCTGATGTCTTTCAAATGATGATCCCGGCTCCTGGAGTGAATGATAGCAATGCTTTTGATGCTCTTTCCCAAGGGGGGGAAATTAAAGGTTAGGGCTTAGCAATCATTTAACAGAAACATGAATCTACACAGGACTTCTGTTTGGATTATTCATTTAAAATGACTACCTTTCAAATGATTACAAGAAAGGTTTCCTAGCCAGAAACATGATTTGATTAGATAAGATAAATTCTTGGTGCTATTAGTGTATTCTCATGTACTTCATGGCCTGATATGTATACAGTACACACACACACACAAATGAAGAGAAGACAAAGTTGGCCCACTCAGATTTTTTTTTTAAATTTTCTAAGGTCCTTATAAACAAAAACAAAGACACTGATAAACCAGTGTCTTCCAAGAGTAACTCTAGCACTGTTGAAACTTAATGTTTATTCCTGTGCAATTAATCAGATCCTAACAGTGGTTTCACATAGGTTGATTTGTACTTGCTTACATTTTTACAATAAAATGATTTACACGGAAGGATTGTGTTTGATATCTTTCAACTCTTTGTACACTATGGAATGTGCTGCTAGATAGCACTTGCTTTGTCTGTCCTAACAATGTAAGTGCCAGGTGCCAGGAGACACTGTGCTGTTTGTCTTTGAATGACCTTCTGGCACACTGAGAAAAAAGTCAATGACTTTGAAAATCCTGTGTGTGTGTGTGTGTGTGTGTGTTTGTGTGTGTGTAGCCTTGGCTGTCCTGGACTCACTTTGTAGACCAGGCTGGCCTCGAACTTACAAAATCCTGCCTACCTCTGTCTTCCTGAGTGTTGGGATTATAGGCATCTCTCTTTCACTCTCTCTCTTCAATTTTTTCTTTCTTTCTTTTTTTGTTTGTTTTTTTGAGACAGGGTTTCTCTGTGTAGCCCTGGACTTGCTTTGTATACCAGGCTGGCCTTGAACTCACAGAGACTCACCTGCCAATGCCTCTCAATGCTGGGATTAAAGGCATGGGCCCCCATGCCTAGCTGAAAATTCTTGTATTTCTTACCAATTAGCTTAATTTTCAGGAGTTTTAAAAATAAGCCCCAGGGCCTAGAGAGAGTGCTCAGAAGTTAAGAACATGCACTGTTCTTGCAGAGGATCAGTTTTGATTCCCAGAGCCCATGTTGGGCGGCTCACAATGGCCTGTAGCTTCAGAGGCCCCTGGGGTGGATATAAACTGCCTCTTTCACCACCAGTTCCTTTAGCCTGTATATGAGCAGCTTCAAAACTGGTCTGTGCGTAGACACAGCAAGTACAGCCGTTTATACCCAATGCTGAGTCGTGTTGGAGCAGGGACTTGCTATATTGTCTGTCTAGTAAGTCTATAAGATAAACTCTAAACATGAATACTATGTGCCAATAGGGGAGGAGGTTATTTGTATGTGGGTTATACAGATAAGGAGTTTACTGTTCTGCCTTATATTTTATTTTTAAAAATAAGTTGGTTGTTAACAATAATGCGTTCTTTGTCTAACAGCGATTTTCAACCTGTGGGTCATGACCATAGGAAAATACGTATTTCTGATAGTCTTTAAGAACTGAGACACCACTCAGTTGCAAAATCACAGTTATGAAGTAGCAACAAAAATACATTAATGGTTGGGGCTTCCTAAGACCATCAGTATTGGGTGTTTTCCAAAGGTTATAACCCATAGGTAGAGAACTTTGAAGTATCTTCAGTTTTTCTGTGGAAACCTCTGTGACTTTCAAAGACAGAGAGAAGATGAGGTTTCCTCCCCTTATTAGGTTTTATTTCCTGTCTCGTTATGTTCATTTGGGCCATTGAGATTACGCCCTAAGAGTTGCAGAGTTAGACACCTAGGGAGGACGAGAGTGAGAGGCAGTGTAAATCAGTGCCTCAACACACGATCCGTTTTGGCCTTGTCCTGGCCAGTGTATGGTCCAGTGGGGACAGGTAAGCTAGTTAGTGCAGCCAAGTCACATAACTCTTAACTCTCCTGAGACCTATAGTAATTGAAGGTCAGGAATGCAATCTCGGTGGCAGCAGTGCGTTTCAAGCCTCCATGCCCACTGGTATTTCTCTGGCTAAGGTTAAAGGCATGGGGTGAGGAGCATTTGCTACGTGGAGGGCATGTGCCTGTGTGGACGTGAAGAAATGGGCTGAACGGTACTCCACTCACAGACCCTCCTGCCCCCAAATTCCACATCACTGGAATCTCCCATCCATTGAACCAGCCACTTTTTCACTGTTTGTCACCGTCTTCACACCTGTCTTCCCTTTCATTCTGCAACATGTTTTTTTTTTAAGTATGGAGGTAGCCATGTTTCCATATGTACAAGTGTGTGTGTGTGTGTGTGTGTGTGTGTGTGTGTGCGTGCATGTGCTGTGGTGCACATGTGGAGGTCAGAGGACAGCATTCAGGAGTTGGTCCTCTCCATCACATGGGACCCAGCGATTGAATTGGTTTTTCAGGCTTGTGGCAAGTGCCTTTCCCCACAAAGTCATAGTTCATGAAATGATCAAAGGGCAAGAGAGAAGAAAGGAAGTTGGTGAAAAACCCTTTGAACTATGAACTGTGAACTGTGCTCTGGGGCTATATCTTTACATGGGACTCCTGCTTTGAACAGTGTGGTGGTCTGAGTGCTGGAACCCCCAAACATATATCCTGCAACTGCAATTGTGACCTTATTTGGCAGAGTCTTTGCAGACATCTTTAGGTTAACGATTGAAAGGTGGGCGCCCCCTGATGGTCCAGGTGGGAACTGCAGGCGATACTGAAGAGCCCAAAGGGGAAATGGTGCAGGCTCTGCCGCCTCTGGCCAAGGTACACAGCCAGTCTGCAGGGATGGTGGCCCTGTCCCTAGAACCGATGGAGTCAATGTGGCTGTGGAGGTGCCCCGACGTTTGACTTCTAGCCCCGGCATTGTCAGGATGCGCTGCGCGCTGCTCTTATTTCAAGCCTGCAACTTTGACAGTTTGTCATGGGGCGGCCACAGCACGGCTGCTTCGATGGTTTCGTAAAACATCTCACAGGCAGCAGAGGGCTTGTTTTGGTCGCTGGGTTGTTTGGCGAGCTGCCTGGTGTTGGTGGAGAAGCATCTCTTAGCCATGTGTCACTCACTCTGGCCTGTTCTGTCCACGTCAGGCCCCTACTTTCCCTCTTCCCCTTCTTGGTTCTGCCACAAGTTGTACAAAGTCTGAAAGCTCTCCCTCCGTAAGCCTGTGACACCCTTGGATAATCTCTTCTTTCAGTTGATTTGGGGCTTTGTTTCAGTTAGTTCTTAACTCCAGGGCACAGGCTCCAAATTTAAAGTGTTGGAAAAACCAAAAGCCAGAACCAAGAAAAAGCACGAATAATAGCTGACCGCCTCACACCCAAGAGGCAGGAGAAGTTGACCGACTGCTCGTCCCAACATGCAGCTTCAGTGAGGCTTCAGGAAATTAATGCCAAAAAGGCCCGAAAAACTAGGGTTCAGATCTGTTGGGTTTTATTTAAAGAAGGTTTTTTTTTTTTTTGGGGGGGGTCAGTTTTCTAAATAAAACACTTCCTCTTAAGAAATAAAATAAAACCTTACAAGAAGCAAAGTACAACACAAATACCATGAACCTCAAACAAAAATGCATTTGTTGGGGTTGGAGAAATGGCTCGGCAGTTAAGAGCACTGGTTGTTCTGGCAGAGAACCCGAGTTCTATTCTTAGTACCCACAAGGTAGCTCACAAGCATTCATAATTAGTTCCAGGGGATCCGATGCCTTCTGGCCTCTATGAGCACCAAGCATGCACTTGGAATATACATGTAGGCAAGACACTCATACACATTAAATAACAAAAATCTTTTTAAAAGTCTTCGTTGGTCACACTATCCCATGATCCCCATTTGGTAGTAGAAACGTTTGTAATATCTAAAGGTAGTGGGCAGAATTGTCCATATATTTATTAGATTTTGGAGGGCTCTTTAAAAAATATCTCCATTTCCAGCTTCTAGAAAATGAGCCTTGAGAGGCTCCCAGATTGACACACACACACATTTGAACATGTTAAATATTTTATTCACATTGTTTATAAACTATATCCACCTGGAAAACACATGAATCCAAAAATAGATTATTTTACAGTAATTCACATTTTTTTTCCTCAAAAACAAGTTACTTTTGAGGTTAAACTCTAAACACGGAGGTCTTCAGCCTGCGTTGCTTTTCAGTGCCTCGTCCCTTGACCCCCAGCTCTGGGGAAGTTAGGGCTCAGGGCTCCCCTCCATGCTGCAGGTCATTAACGCCTTGCATGCCAATGGCAGACGAGGAAATGTCAGTGCAGACTTTAACCCGTGAACATTTACTGATGTAAATTTAATGTTGTCATTTTTGTCAAGAGTATATGCTGCAGAGCTGGAGTACTCATCAGGCAAGAAAAGAGAAGAGACTGATGATGTATTCGGCTGTCCTGGGTTTGTTAGGACATTTCTCCGCTCTGTAAGGTTTAACGTCTTAGCCCGAAAGAATCAATGAATTCTGATTGGATCGCGTTGACAGTTCGAATCATAGAAACAGCAGTGATTTGGAAATGAATGCACATGTCTGTTGACTAGATCGCTGCAGATCTGACCCTAGCCATCAGGGGAGGAGAAGGGGCCAGTGATCTCAGCAGCAATTCCCCATGTGACTAATTACAAGTCTGTGAGCTCAGAAGGATTGGATCAAGTGACTGTGGCTAAGTGGTCAAAAACGATGGTCTTGCTAAGAAACTTATTATTAACTTAGGCTGCATCCAATTAGGTCCCAGCTTAGTGGTTTAGCTTTATTATTATTATTATTATTAAAAAATTCTTTTATAGAATGTGACTGTAATAATTTCAAATTTAAAGTAAGCAACTCTTGCACCTCACCCTCTCCCAAAACCTAATCACAGGCGAGCTGACACAGTTGACCACTTAGAACCTCTGGAATGGAAGGATCATGTGTCCTTAAATGGTGCGATGGGCCCCCCCCCCCTTTTTTTAAACAGCACCGATAACACGGCCTACTTTGGCTCCGAACACTTCATTCGGGAAACAACGTCTCACCACACTGCCACAAAAGACCATCCCTTCCTCCCCCTTGGGATCAAGACGATTGCTTAAGGGTTTCTGTCATCACCCCAATAGACAACAACTGAATCCAAGTGTAAGCTGAGGCGTGCAGAAATTTTATCAGTGTGTTTGCAGGTTTTGAAGAGGAGAAAAGGGAGAAGGGGCAGGAGGAGGAGGAGGAGGAGGAGGAGGAGGAGGAGGAGGAGAAGAAGAAGAAGAAGGAGAAGAAGAAGAAGAAGAAGAAGAAGAAGAAGAAGAAGAAGAAGAATAAGACGACTTTCAAATGTCTGGTTTGATCTGGTTGTTTGAAACAACAGAAATCCATCAAATGAGCCTCGTGTCCGGCATAGATCATAGTTTATCTTCCTGCCACCCGTGTGCGTTTTTTCCAAACTTGTACACTAACCTCCGGTCAACTCGCTCCAAAATGCCCGTTTTATAGTAATATCTGCGAAAGCAAGCAGA